ATATTGAAGTTGAAGGGAATCTACCATGAGAGGAGTGACTTTGTCCGAGAGCGTTTTGCCGAGATTTATGAAAAAATGACAGATAAAATGAAGTAGATGTGGCAAAACGCCGCCAAGATGGCCCATCAAGAAACGAGAAAGATCGCATTTGAACTTATACTTCTGACTCATTGTATAAATATAATTAGATGTCCCCCACTAAATGTCTTTCCTTGTTACATGGTAGACTGGATAGCGAAAATGTGATCTACAGTTAATTATGAAAATCTAGTCCCAGTTTACTTTCTTTAATATGAATTTCTTATCCCTAAAGTTTGTACACTGCATAATTATACCTGGATGAAATATAAAATAACATACAGATAAACATTGCTTGTGCTGGATCGATGGTGATTTGTCGGCAGTTGTGTGACTTCGGCCGCCACGACAAACATACCTGGAGATGGAAAGCCAACAATGAGTAAATTGCCGACTGTGATTGATTTTCGGAACTATTAGGGCAAAATTCACCACGAAAGCTTTCATCATTGACTTGACTTTACTTTCTTCAATTTTCATATATGTCGTAATGGCACAGTATTTCATGAAGGCGGTCTGGGCCAATTAAAGGCTGCCACCTGGGTGGCGGGACTCGAACCCGAGACGGGAAAGGTCTGACGTTCATCATGATGACCACTCATCCACGGCCGAACGGCTAAACGGTGATACTGTCAGAAGCCGCTCTTTTCGTCGGAATATCGACCGTAGGTCTGCCTTGGAGAAACAGGAAAGACTTCTTGGGCAAGTCATTTTGCCTCAATAAATCAGTCCGATTCATTTAGATTGCGTGACCTTCACATCAAGGTCAGGTGAGCGAGGTTCTCCACACATCTATTTTGTTTCCATGAGAATGGAAAAAGGTTTGTTGGAAAAAAGAAAATTACACTACTTTATTATGAAGAGGGATGAGATTGTGCTTACGAATTGGACGCGTGTTTTGACAAATTTCGCTCAGAGCTATCAGTGAATCACAGCACACATTCTCACACAGTTTATGAGAAATGCGGTGTCACAACAAAACACAGTAGACGGAAGAACCAATATGTCGACCTAAAACAATCATGTTGTTCACACTGTTATATATATATCTATATATATATATATATATATATATATATATATATATATATATATATATATATATATTCACCAGGATCTAATTTGAAGCGTCTTGAGTGTGAACGGATACTCTTTATTGAACAGACCACAAATGAATCACAGCTGTGATTTCTGTTAGTTATTCATGTCTAGGTCACTGCTAACCGGGGGAATTTTGTCCACCCAGTTACACGCTACATGCTATCATTATGTATGTACATGATGTACTGTCGGAATTCATGTGAAATCATAGTTTATCGAATTAGTCCGTCTCTTACGTGAAACCTCGCGTCCTGGCAAACACACCTGCATCTACCATTCTGTGACAATTAAACACAACGACATTCCAAGTTGTCTTCACTCTCTGTGACAAACACACCACAATAAATTCAATAAATTTGATATTCAGTACACGGCATCGATTCACAAACATGAGAATTTCCTTCCCGCTCAGTTGAAAAATCACAGGCATTCATTTACGTACAATATTCTACCACAATGTTTTCCGATTTATAGTCCTTTGATGTTTCTTCATTCTCAATGAATTATCTTGGCTTTTTAGGCATATTTCAACAATCCAGCTTTGATACAACTAGTCGTCTCGTGCCACATTACGTACATCACTTCCACCTTAAAATTTAAATGCGCAGAATGTGCAACAACTTCGTTCTCCGGCAGCAAAAGTTAATTTTCAAATACAATCAAATCAAAGCTGTTGTTGAAACTGAACCTCAAATTATCTATGGTTTCGCTAATGTAAAAACAAAGTAAGGAGTAGACATGTCGACAGCTACTAGATCTACATCCTTCTTTCAGACACGATGCACCACATTGCAACAAAATACCCTAGAACTCACAGACCGGAAATATTTATTTTTTGAGCCCCATGAATTCCGCTTTGTCCAGTGTTGTGGATAACCCTAACTCAAAAAAAGTTGGATCCCGACTTTTCGGAGCATACATCAGCCGGCGTAATGAGTTTTACGACACCGGAGCTGCTGTAATGAGCTTCCCTGTGAATTTCTCAATATGAATCACGTTTGGGCGAGCAAAGAAAGTAAATCGATAGCCAAAACGATTAACGACACAATCTGAGTTTCTTCACAACTGCAACAAGTGACCACTTACGTCGAGCCTCTAATGTTGACTTTAGATCGGCCGAAAGATAAAGTAGCCCACTGAGTTGCATCCTTCTTCTCAATACGGTATGGGAATTTACGGATAAGTCTTCTCTCCAGATGTACTTATTACCGATTTGGCGTTCTTTTTATCAAAATGCGCAAAATATTATCCATGTCGGATGTTTATTTTTGTCAATCGCGTCTTGTTGTGACAATATTTTACATGAGTACCGTGGAAACGTTTATACAAAAACGGGAAGCAATGTTCACTACCGAAACGTGCAAAACGCATTAGCAGCAATTTATCTCCCCTACTTGAGAAAGTGAAGTGTTTCGGTCCTGGGTGAACATTCCTCCATTATCACGAAAACGAAATGTGTTCAGCGGACGACGTTCATATGACCTTCATGTCAAGGTCATACATTCCAAAAAAGAACAATGTCTCCGATCAGCCACTGTGAAATATGTTTGGACCGCGAGATAACAGTATTCTCCAAATGTGTTTGGACTGCTTTAATTCCTTTCTGCTGGGCGCACATATGATCGACAGATCAGCAAAAAGAACTGCTACTAGCAGAATCAGAATTTATTTATCATTCTTGAATCTTACCTTTATAGTTTCAACAATTGATTCACATTTGACCGTCTACTAAATATAATCTTCTCAAGCTTCAGGCAAATATACCATATTAACCAAGACCACGCTACTTCAAGTGCCCGAGTTAGATTCCCGGTTATCTTTAGAAGTGCAGTGGGTCTTCGATGCTAGAAATATACCTCCTCTACTGCACTATTGTGCAAGCATGAAACAATGACAAAATGTTTCGGAACCACTGAGCACTATACATGAAGTTGAAGTGTGTGGGTAACTATTGCGACTTTTAATAACCAAAACCGATAATCATCATCAGACAAACTTTTGATCATATCTAAACGGTGGTCGTTTCCCATGCTTCATTCCAGATAACTCTTTGAACTTTTGACAGTCGGACGTTAAAAGTGATCCCAGAAAAAAAGAGGTAGCCCGAACGGGGGACCGAATAATCTAGTGTCACATAAAAATCCAAGGGAGGTGAATAATAAGACATTTGGAAAAATTGTTTCAGTTTTGCCGTATAATGAATCAGTGTCTTTCTCCCTACGCCAATTGCCAACCAAAGACAAATGAAACCTATCAAGTGATGTGGATAGAGGGTACAACAACTTGAGACATGAAAATGTATGCAATATATATTATCGTGTCTGGAAAAGGAACGTAGCCCATGAAAAATGTGGTAGCGGAAATGACCAATTTTTGACAAGCCGGTTATCTGTATTTTTTGGTTTTGGTAGTGTACCATTTTTTGTCACCAGATTATTGAAGGTTCGTATTTTGTTATAATACTTCTAAACCGTGCGTAACAATGGTAACAACAGTGACTGGCAGCTGGAAAATCTCAATTTTTCGAGGGAGGCAAAAGAAACGAGGCCTTCAAATGAAACCGTCACACCGGCCGAAATCTACGGACCAATATACATCCTGTTATCTGACTACCTTTCATCAGTCTTGTCTCGTTACTGTCCCGGTATCCAAGAGGATTTGCGCATCAAACAAAACACGACTCAGCATACTGTCCACTCAGCACATCCTGTCAGCGATGGGTTCATTTTACGTGAACTGAGAGCTGTTCGATTTTTGTCATATGATCCAAATCCGTCTTGGGGAAGCGCTCAGTGTCGCTATTTTGTTCCGAAATAGGTGGACTTCAACAAGATTTGGAGGAGTCCAGCTAAGTCAGTTTTGAGACTGAAATTTAACCACAGTGAAACGTTACGGAAAGCAACTAACTGAAACTTTAAAACAAAAATCATATTTGAGACTGTCACATCTCCCAAAAGTTTTCGAATCCAAATAAGTGACGGCGAGAAACATGTACACCGCGACACGTTCACAAAATGAAACCTGATGTCCACAGCACTTTGGACAGAATGGAATTTTGGTATTTCGTTAATGATGTGTCAAAACGAATGAACAAGTTTGGTACTGTAAACTTTTACTTCCATGATTGAAATTATCGGTAGAAAGATGACAAAACAAGAACAAGAACACAGCGACATTATGACCGAATTGAAGCGTGATATGAGAATTTTACTGTTTGAGTAGGACAACAGACTGCAAAGACAAAATCCGTTTTTACGGTGACCATGGGGAGAAAAAACGAACGGCCTCCGTTTAGAAAGTCAGCACTATGTGCCGATAATGATAAACAGAAATGGATGCGAACAGACAGAAACAAATTTGACCGAATTTGATAACTTGTCTAATAAAGCCAGGTGCATGAACAATGTAAATTGAAGCAATCGAGTTTCCGGAGGGAAGTTAAAAGTGAGAAAACTGTACACGATACATGCAAAAAAAGTTACTGCTAATTCATAAGAGGTACCTTAGCAGTTGGGTCGTTGATCTAGGTAAAGTAGAATGATGACGATGTGCAGAACAGTTTTCACGATGATAGATGGGAAATAAAAACAGCGGCAATGTTATTAAGGTTCATAAATATGCATAGCAGACAAATGCAGAATCATGATGCCCAAAGCGGCTTCACGGAGCGCAGATTTTCAGAACGGGGAAGCGGTGAGGAGGGAGACGTCTGTATCACTAATGTGTATCTCAAGTCGGTTATGACAACGGTGACGAGTCACTTGTCCGCAACGGAACAGAAAATGAATATATTCAGCTTATCACACGGATCCACTACTCAACTAATCTGTTCGACCGAACGAAATACCAGCACCAATGGTAGATCCTTGCGGACCGATGACGCCTGGATTACACATAACCAACGGCTCGTTCTCGATTGTCCGAATCGGGAAATAAGGGTAGGCGGATCCGGTCGAATGCGAGGGGACTTGATGCGGAAGTGGTTGACTGGCGCAACTGGATGAAATGGAGGATTTCAACTCACACTCCGTAATGGATGGATGACCACGACTGCTTGGGATTTGGTGGTGTGATCCACTTGTGGAGATTATGGCGAGCTGTGACCGCGGGGGAGATGTACTAGCCGGAAGCAGCTGTCGTTTTTTCACACCCGCAGATAAGCTTGCCGAATTGACCACCATGGTCGTGGTTTGTTGTCGGTTAGGGCCGACGCGCGCGCCGGAACCGGACGATGAATCACTTCCCGAAGTGGAACCACTCACGGGGGGAACACTGGGATTGGGAATAGGAAAGTCAAAGGGGGAGGAAGGGAATTGAGACTGCAACAAATCACATCTAACACTACGAGTGGTAAAAGCTTGTGGAAAATCTGGACAAATGACTCAATAAAGAACGAAAGATAAGATGAATCACACTACATAATCCAATAAGATGTAGATCGGTTACACACACAAATGTTGCGATAGCAATTAAGGGAACCTCTTTCGGGTTGACAGAACACTCCACATATTGATTGGCACAGTTTGGTGTCTCAGGCGTACAACGTGTAGATGTGGGCGATGTGTTGGATCAATTATATCGTTATGGAACAAGGAAAACATGAAACGTTGTTCCCTTGATAAGAAGGCAGAATTAGGCAATCTCATGTATGTTCTATAACTGATCGAAAATGAACGAAATTCGGGAGATAAAAACTCGGTAGGAAAAAAAACAAATAACATGATGAGAATCATTTCAGTCAGACTACTCGAAAAGGAAGAACCGATGTTCTATCGAGTAATGCGCCTATGGTCGATAGATCCCACATCTTGTGCCAGATGAACTCAAACAATAAAACTGCTCCATAGGTCAGAACTAATTCCGGAAGAACAAACCGAAGAGACTGCAACACTCAAAAAAGGCCCACGATATAGCTTGCACCTTGGAGTCAGTTTCAGTTTTAGTTAATTCAACCATTAACCTCGCACTTCTGTGCTCCAGTTTCGGTTGCTACCTTCCAGCATCGTCTAGTAAACGGCAGAAAGAACAGAAGCATAGTGATAAAGATCCAAAAAAGTCAAAGTATCGAGCGGAAATCAAGAGGACGAGGAAAGAGTCCGAATGCAACTATGCCACTGGCCGCGGCACCTACCCATATAACTTAATGTCTCCAACTATTTGGTAGGTGGATCACGTGGACCCCAACCTGGAAGTCTAACACGTCCTACGTGGCCAAGTCCACTGGTCAAGGTTTTCATACCTTTTTGCCGTGTCATGGACTGACCACCACGATCTACCTTCCAATCGCTACCCGCCTCCGAGAACAGCGTATGCCGCACCTTGGAGTGGAATCCAATCAAAGTCAAACATCAAGTTCATTTATAATGAGAGCGAAAAATGATTGTGATAAGTTTCTTTGAATGTTGACGAAATACTGAACCCGAAAACAAACTTCATTTCACAAATCGGGACATTCTATACCCACTTAGCTTGATTGATAAATTTCGAAATCTAATTTTTATAAAAGATTTTTACCACTGTGCGGTAGTTACGGTATATATATATATATATATATATATATATATATATATATATATATATATATATATATATATATATATATATATGTTCACTAGGATCTAATTTGAATCGTCTGGAGTGTGAATGGATACTAGTGAACATATAACATCGGAGTGTACAAGTATGAGGACGAGTGGGCAGAGGAGTACCGGGTACGCATACCTGATGAGCGGCAACAACCGCGAAACCGGTCGTGTGCTTCCGGGGAAATTTTGTCCACACGTTTACATACTACTTGCTATCAATATATATATATATATATATATATATATATATATATATATATATATATATATATATATATATATATATATATATATATATATATATATATATATATATAAATGTTGACGTAAAAAACCATTCGAATGACAATATGGTAATAAAATAAATGTATGCAAATGTAATCAACTGACTTAAACGAACTGCTTCCCGAAAATGAATCTGACCAAGGGTGTATCAGGGACCTTACAATATTTTTTCATTGGAAAAATTAGGATCAAACTTGCAGATATCATAGCCCGTACTACGCAAAATCGCGAGTTCCGGCTTGGTTTGGATCATATGTGGGGCTCAATGCTTATTCCGTGTATTCCGTGCTCCTGGATGAACAAAATGTAACGGACATTCTCCATCACAAGCATCACACGATTTTGGACTCCTCGACTAGTACTCCTCCGTATGGAGTCAACGATCCAACAACAGGTATGATCAGCAACTTACTGGATTGGTCGATTGTTTCTGAAACGATTAGGTCATGTTGACCGTAAATGAGAGTGCTCAATGTTCTCCCATGTTGGCCTTTGAAATGCGTACACAGATGAAAGAGGTGGGAACCTTTGGCACCAACTTGTGCAACCTGGTTTGCAGATTATTCAGTTGGTAAACGTTATCTAGATGATTTTCTTCCTATCGGCTAGTACGATCAAAACTGCCATGAAAAAATCATTTCAATGGAATTTCATCGCCCCGAGCAAGTTAAATATGTTCCAAGTCACGTGTGATTCACCTCACCATTTCTAGAAGAGAACACGTCATTCAAATGAAATAGGACAGATGTGAATTTCCAGCAAGTCTTACATCAAGTGAACCGAGAAAACTCAAAATTGTGTGGACCGATAAGTTCAGTTCCTTGAAAGATAGTAACGAAACCGCGCGAACGAAAAGGTATGAATAGTTGACCTGAATTAGACCCATGGATGACCTTGAAGAGATAGTATATTTGTCCGGTCGAGTTAAAAGAGCTGACGATTTGAGGTGAAAACAACGGGTGACGATTCTAACTAAATAAAGCACGGAATATAATGGAACCCGAGACTCGACAAAATAACTTCATGAGCTTTCTGGAGGAAAATAATAGTTTACTTCGATTTTGAATCATTCGTATAATGAGTTGGAGCCGTGTTTTTGTGAAATTCTTCATTTAGGAAGATGAGTAGTGGTTCAGCAATTTAGAGCCAGAATAATTCACAGAAGCCGTTATCATCATTCTAAGTTCCCCATATCGATAACTGTGAAAACGAAATAAATGGACTGACTGGCGTTTTACTGATGAATCGAAGGTAAGGTGAAATCATGAGAGCAGGTAAGTCATCGATGTGTTCATGTGCTAAATGAGTCAGATATTGAACAAAGCAAGCGAACAGCTTTCGCGAGCATGCGCGCGTACACACACGCATGTATTCACGTATAAACGAGCAGAGACAAATGCGTTCTCCTCATCACACGCTTTACCTACCCCAGCGAGTGGTCAAAACTGCAATTTCGGACACACGAAACAAAACAGCAGAAAAGTTGGTGCTATGACTGTGATTTCAGTTTAAGCTGGTGTGATAAAGCAAAATGCCAGGTCCACGTGATCCGCTGGTCACTCGCATCTGGTGATCACAAAGTGACCCACAGTAAAAAATAAATTAAAGATCTCATATAACGAAAGAGTACAAGGGCTACAAAAACACTAGGCAGTTAGGAAATATGATCGATCTCACACAATTACATGATTATATGAACTTAGCTGCCCTGTTCACTGATACCCACTGAACATCAGTTTCTCTTAAAGACCAAGCCAGCCAAGCAACTTTTCGCGAAACATTTACTGATTATTGTAGCCACTGTACAGCGGCTTGCAATGTGCGCATTCACTGCTCTTATCGCCACAAACGGCTCGTAGACATAGTGCATACTTGATATGACTAAGGGACTAGGAGGGGATCAAAAGCGAGACTGATTCTGGCTAATTTTCATGGTCCCCGGGTATGAAATAAAGTGAAAACCGATTAGGGACAATCTGCAAGATCGTCATTCGCGCGTACAAGCATGGAGACAGAGCGAGGCGAATACAAACGTGATGTAACAGACTCTCGGTGGTTATGCCCATCCTCTGAGATTCGTGAAAATTCAAAAGGCATTCGACGATTGAAATCTATTGTTATCGAAATTCGCTAAACGAACGTTTTTCCTCGCAATTAATTCCTCTTTCCTGAACTTTTCGCGGTACATCATAACACGACTGAAATATGAAACTCTGAAGAACTTAATATCGGTAACGTTAATCCTGCTGCCATCCGTTGGCACTTGAAATCATGTGACCTTGGTCATGATGATAAATTAGCCCGAAGTTCAGAAGTTCGAAATCAGCTAAATGATGAAGATGGTTTATTGCTAAACCAATGAAGGTAAAATTCGCCAAATGTGGTTTTCATCGTTGATATATAGACGGTGATTCTGCTTGAAGCATTTCATTTTTGTGAATTGTCTATCATGTCTGCCCAACAGAAAGAAGCAAAAGCGAAGCGAACATAGTCGGAGTATACTGTGTTGCCTATTCGTTCAACAGCTAACTCACAGTGGGTGGTAACCTCGCCGGAGAAAAAGCATTGGTTTGTTTCGAATACATGACCTGGACTTCAAGGTCATTTGAGCTCAGCCCGTTAAATATCCGTTTTGTATTCACTACGTGGAAGAAGCACATACTAAAAAAAGGAAAATTCCACCACTATGTTTAAGAGGAAGAGGATGACATTGTGCGAGCTCATCGAACGCGTGATCTTGTGATAAACACATCCTATTCTTCTTATGAATGATAGCATGTTTTTAACATTATTCGGGTAATGTGAAAACAATATCTGGTGTGTACAAAACGGACATATGCAACAAGCATAATGATGTAAGTTTCAGTGAAATAAAAAATAATGGCTAGGGCGCAACAAGTATATGATTAAGGAGAAAACTTGACAATAAATTCCCACAGTCCACTGCAAACAAGGGTGAAAAAACAAGTTGCTTTAGCCATCGGCCGATCGAAAACCAGTAATGTACGAATAACGAAGGTGGGTAAGTTTTGGAATCGTTTTGCTAATGGATTTAATTTATACGAACTGTAGTGAGAATTAGGGGGCTAATAAGTGCGTCAATCGTAAAAAGAAATTTCTGACCAGACTATTTTAATGACGACGAAGCTCAAAGCTCACCACATCGGTTGATGGGACCTACAAAAAATCATGACCAACTGTGCTGGAGGAGTACTACCAAAGATACTTGGAACAACGTAGAACTCACCGGGACCATTAAGGGAAAGTTATCCGTTTCTCAGACCAAAAGTACTTCTGCGAAAACCGTCTTACCGCAGAATAGTGCGCTAGATCATATCTCATATGAGGCTGTATATCTTATAGCCACGGATACAATTATCCATTTGCCGTAAGATTTTTAAG